CCTGGCCAACTCAACTTGTTTGAGGTGGCAGGGGAGTCGTCCTTGTTAAATCAATATTCTTTCAAGTTTATAGATTTCTGTTTTGTCAAATAAATTTGACTGAAGTCTTATAATTTTCACTGGAAATATTGAGTAATCCATGAGCTAGGTTACTTGTAAATCACTTACAAGACCATTCACATAACATGACAAAATTTATATTATTGAATTTTTTTTTAAATTTTACCATTCAAAATTAGTTCTATTTCTTGAACAGTAGATTAAATATACATACATATGTATATTGGGAAAACTATCAAAAATGAAGATAAAAAGGAAATTTTTAGCTTTTATTTAAATACTGTAAAATATTTTAATTTTGCTCGGAATTAATTTTCGCTGAAGGAATGATTCAGTGAAAATAAAATCGAGCGAATATACTTTATTTTTCCTATATTTTACATTCAACTTGTCAAAAATAAGTGAAAATAAATTCCATGCAAAACACCCAAAAAGTCTTTCCAGGTAAAATAAAGTATTTTACATAAGCACATTATTGATCAGGAATTAGTGCACAGTATGAATAGGTTCAATTGAACGATACATATGGTTCCAGATGTTAAGTACAACTAGCAAGTAAAATAAAACATTGCTATAACGGTCTACATTTCTACTGACCCTCATAATTTCCATAAAATTATATTTAGCTCAGATGTATTGGACTGCTCTATTTCATCAGGGGGGTGATAAAGCAGATATTTAGGTAAGGGAATTAACAGCGCAACCTCAATAACTGAACTCAAAAAACAAACACCAGCTAAAAATACACATTTAACGCCCCCATTCATGATACAGAGGTCAGGTAGTTTCAGAAAATTAGAAACTATATACTGAATAGTGTGAAAAAAAAATACTCATCAATAAGAAAGATGGTATAAATTACCATGTTCATGTGTGTGTGACTGTTGTCTTCTTTACATGCAAAGCATACTAAATATAGATACAACACAGACTTCAGAGGCCCCCTACAGGATCTACTGAATTCTGACACACCTGTACTTCTAATATAATTTCTTCTTCTTCTGCCCTCCTATTAAAAAAACAATCCTGAATAAAAAAAAAACAGTCTTTCTTGATTTAAAAATTTCATTTATTCCAGTCAACTAGATTGGCTTTCAAGGCAACCGATGACGTCATATTTAGATTATCAGTTTATTTCAAGATGTCGTCACTCCAC